TTGCACCTTCTCTCTAATTTCCTAAATATGCAGTGGGTATTGAGGGGCTAAGCGAGAAGGTATGTTGTTTTGCTTGCACAGGGAAGATAAGGAGTTGCAAAATTTTCCAAGGAGAGGTGGAGATTATTGGAAGGAAGGGAAAGAAGGACAGAAAAAGCCCCATTAGCTCATTTGCTCCTCACCATAAATCAATCCCTAAGCACCTCAACATAAAGGATACACAATGTGTATATTTCTAGTCAGAATTGATGAAAGACAGGCTGATTTGCCCTATTTGCACTCACAGCATGCTGTTGGCTATAATAGCGAAGTGTTTCCAACACAACAGGCATTAAAATAAAACTGGCTTCTCCACAGAACTGCATTTTAGTTACAGCCCTCCTTAGCCAGACTAGAAAAGAAACAGTGCTCAACAGGTCCTCGTTAGGGGATATCAGGTTTTAGGACAATGTTTATTCTAAGCCAATGACTGAAAATAAGTATTTAGTCAGTCTGTTTCAGGACCAATAGAGACAAGAGATGAATACTTCAGGTTGAATTCCAATTAATGAAAAAAATCCTATTTAAACCAGTTCAGGTTAGGTTTGACTCCTATGGATTCTACAGAATTCTCAGCAACTGGTGGGGAAAATGTAGAGTATATGGACTAGGGGTGATAAAGTGTGAAAACCCGTGGCAACCTCAGGTTCTTTTGCGTGTGACCAGCAAAGATCTATAAATACCTGTGTTCACCTGCAAAATATTAGTCACTGAGTTGAAGGTTACTTCAGATGATCACCACTGATGCTTGTTTTCCCACCTTCAGAGGAAACAGACTACCTGTCCAGCAAGATTCAATCTCATTATTGGTTTAGCCTGATTAAAAGCAGCACTGAATAGTAAAAAAGAGGACAGAATGGGAAAAACTAGTGGCAATCACAGGAATTTAGTCTGGGAGAAAGCTGACCTCTGGCTGGCAAAATTTAAGCAGAGGAATAGGGATTAAATTTCAGTAGGCTGTAAAACTTAATGCAGACATGCACAAAAATTTTGTACAATGACACCATTGTGTACAGAATCGCAAGACTTCTCAGGAGCTTGAAGACATTCATCCACATGCTGGATGCATACAGTTGGAGGTATGTTCCACGTATTTAGGCAATGCCTTTCAGAAAGTGTGTCAACGCAGTCAAATTACATGGATCAAGCACACATTTTCTCTAAAGGCAGAATGAACTAGAAATATTCTTAAGATTAATTTTAACTCATTGACCTTTTGCTCACTGATAACTACTTTTGCTTTAGGATAAGCCATTGGGGAAAAAAAAAGATTTGGCTAACTCAATATTAATTTTACAATGCTTTTTCTCTACCCGCTTTGACATCCACTTTTTAAAATCTACAGTCATCAAAAAAAGGTTTATGATCTCAGTGACATGGATCCCTTTAGCTCCTCAAAAATACACTGAACCATCAGTTAAAGGCCTGACACACTGAAAAAATGAAATTTAATTGACAAAGGAATTCCGATTTGCAAGCTTCATGCACAGACTCATGGACACTCAAGGAGAGTGGAAGCGTGTGTGCCATCCACAGAGCTGGATGCTATGGTGACTGAAGTAATTCCCTTGAGAGGATTTTCCTCTGGCAATTTTTCTGCAAATGAATTTCTTAGGAGAGATGTTGGGGCAGCCTGGGGCAGCTAGCTGAATGGTCA